ATTGGCCTTGTAATCTTCTTTAGCAGCATTCTATTCGTTTAATTTTTCGAGACACATTCATAATATTTAATTAATAATTAACTACATATTTCCTACGGTTTTATTTTATATTTAGTTTCAAGTTCTTTGTAACTACAGTGGGAGGAGCCACGTGGTTGAAGAAGGAATCCGTAGACAGACATAATTAATCAACTTCTAAGACTTCATATTGAAAATCTTTCAAAATTAAATAACAACTCAAAGAGCAAAAATTAAATTTCTGATGAAACAAACAAGTTCCCGTTATAATAAGCAACTTAACTTGGCGTAGTTTTGCAATTAGAACTCCACAACTTGGAAATTTATTTAAAGTATTACGGATTTTAGACAAAGTAAACATAATAGCTACAACTGAAACGTAAAACCGGTTCCAACGTAAATTACATAACATTTGGACAGCGAAGGCCGCGCACGCGCTAATACTTTCATAAGGCCGGTAACGATAACCCCAGCCGCGGGCACATAAACAGTCGTGCCAGGTGGATGCGCACACGCAACGCACCGGCTGCTCTGTCACGAGACAGGTAGCGCCACCTGTTAGTGAAACTGATCGTCAATGTTACACCAGTTACACTGTACATTAGTATGATTAATTATACGGGAAAATTGAATAAATATAAATAAAAACTTACCGTTTCATAATTAATTCTTTCAGCACTTCAATACTTAAATGTGTTAGTATTTTGGTATGATTCATGATTACAATGCCCCTACACAATTTGATATAACTGATCGTATTTAAGTAGTCAAGTCAAATGTAATTTATGTAACATAACATCACGCCTTTTATCCCTCCACCCACTTTTCACTATTTATGTTATGAGTCCCATGTAATAGAATGTGAGCCTATTGCCATATACCGGACACATTTCCAGACTCCGTGCTACTACTGAGATTAAGTGTTTGTGTGTAATGTATACGTTTGTGTTGAATTAACTTAAAGAGGATAAGCTAAAGGTGTCTGCAGGTACTTAACAAATTCAATTCTTTCGTTTGAAATGCCAGATTTTTTTAAAGGTTGTGCTTTTCTGGCTTTAAAAAGTCTATAAAACATTAAGTTCGGTGCATCAGACAGTGATGACATCTAGATCCCTCGCTTACGTAAGCGCGGAGCTGGCACTGGGATGGGATGGGTGGCTCCCGATAAAGATGTCGCGACTTTAATGTCACATTTTGGAATCACATGCTGTCACATTTCATATTTTGAAAAGTGTATTGAAATAACTCTTTTCAAATAATTTGTTTAGGGCTTCTTTCATATGTTAACACATTATAATATTATTTCGAAATACCATCAAAGGTACGTTTTATTTTTATAGTTGTTAATGAAAATATTAAAATGTATAGTTTACGCACAATAAACTATTCATTATTAAATTACATTTATGATAGAATTTCCTCTCCTTGCCAGCTAGCTATTCCCATAGCGTTGATATCTTTGTTTGTGTGTCATTTGCCAAATAAATGCTTTTTCTTTCTTTCTTTCCTTCTTTATTGGCATTCAATCATATGATTAATAGTGGTATGTGGTATCTCATCTAGACATTTCCCTGTTTGCACAGCACTGGCTCGATTGAACGAACTGAATTTTTCAATTTCCTGCCAGTCCTGGAGCGCTCGGTCGGGAACGCTCTGCAGAGAAACATTATTTCAACACTGCTCTTATATCCCCATGTTTAGAAAGATAATGTAGTGAAATTTGGTAACCCTGCAGCTGCTTTCTAGTACATAATAGTATACAAAAATATATGTAGCCTCAATTCGAACGGTACAGGAATTCTGCATCAGTCTTAATTAGAAATAAAACGGTACCACGTATTTATTAATCAGACCAGTCCCGTGTGCCGTGCCATTAACCCCTTACGGATGGAAATTACTTATATTCCGGGCGCGGGTCATATTTAATTGGTTTACAGCGACGCTATTCCGAGCGGAAATATTTCCGGACCACGCTAGTTCACCTCTTATTCCAAATATCCATTGATTACTCGTGTTAATGCATTAGCATCGGTTTCCAATATCCCTAAGTGGATTACATATGAAGTATCATGCATTGTGTTTGTAACTGTGGATGTGTGTGGATATAATATTATCTATGCCCGACTAACGGACCTCTCTTCTAAACCAGTTTAAACATCAAAAGGCATTAAAAAGAGATAAATGATGTAATGTAAAGGTGCATCTGTTGGTCAGTAACAAAATAAAGAATCAGTATCGTGTTATTAGATCGATGTCGAGTGTCGACGAAGCCGCCCGACTGGTTGGAAGAAAAACACTGGTTCTCGACTGCATAGAGCAAGGTCGCGGTCAAGTACAAATGGAGAAATTATGTCGTTGCAATTTTAAATGCTCAAGCAAATACTGTTTTATACTATTTGATAAGGTAGTTCCCACATTTGCATTTTAACGATCTATTGTGTTAAAGGTATAATTGAGTCATCTTGGATTAACTATTCACGTTATTCGTGTACTTTACCTATAAAATTACTTAAAACATTCAATAAGTGACTAATTTCGAACCGTTCATCATTTCTGTAACAAAACAATCTCGTAGTTCTAGTACTCCTGGAACCTATTCCATAAGAGCAAGGTAGTTAATTGTATCGATCTTATTTTTCATAGTCAGTAAAAGCTTGTTTGTAATCGATAGACTGTATTATGAAGCGGACAAGTAACAACCAGTCGTGTAGATCGTAGATTACTTAATCATGATAAAAATACACGCCGTATGATATTGAATGACTCGATATTTTACATTCAGTTCATACACAAAAAAACATTACTTGCATACACAATTCCGCAATTTGAGCAATTACAGTAAGATGTGTAAATACTGTGTGACTTTATAGCAATCTTATTTACACGAAGTTCTTTTATGTAGGTTATCACGTGGGAGCTGGTGATAAAGAGAAGATCCCATCTATCTGAATGATAGAAATCATTATTATTTGACGACTGTTCATAGGTTCACTTATTTTCATACTATTTTGATAGAAACAATGTTTTGAGAAACCTCCAGAACCTAAGCATGATAGAAAACAGGTTTAGCCGGTTTTCAGGCAATCGAATAGTTCGGTAGGTACTAAATCGAATCATCTAATAGGCAATTGAATCTTGAGGCTTCTGCGATAACTACGACGACGACTAGGTAACTACACCATATGAACTTCTATCAGATTAAACATTGACGTAAAACTACTAACGAGTGTTTGACCATGTTTAGGTATATAAACTGAGGTAGGTAGAGGTTAAATACATAACTATTGTAAACATTTTCTGCCAATGTTGTAGAAACCAAACAGTTCAAGTGCACTATGCACGTTTTGATTACCTAAGTAGGTACAAAAACGTAACCCTCTTGCAAAAAAACGAAGTCAGGAAAACTAAGTCTTAACATTTTCGTAAAATAACTTCGACCAAAATTTTAGAAGCGAAAGTCAACTATTAGGTAGCTAAGTTAACTATTAGTTGGTTATGTAAAAAATATAGTTTCAAATCAAATCAAATGCTGCATTCAAAACAATGTTACAGGACGTAATAAGTGATTCTTTGTAGGTGGGTGTATGCACTTGCGTACGTGCCGTGCATAATTTATGGCACTTCTTTGCAACTCCCATCTTAATGTCAACGTTCTAGAACTCTGAAGGAAGTTTCAAGGACTTTACAAGTTATAGTTTTATTTATTGGAACGCGCATGGCCTGACATAGATTTGTGAAATCATGGCCCAGGCGGTTTAGCAACCAAGATAGAGATAACTAGTTAAAAACTCATAATTTTAGCATTCAAGGTAAAACCCACGTCATTATTTTACGCATCAATTACGGCAGCGGGTGTACCGACCTTAGGTAATCAACAATACGGCTTCATGCGTAAATGCACGTTACTGAATCAGTAGCGTTCTGGTGGCTCGCCGTGAAAGTATGCACGGCCGGCAGTGAAATATCAAAACAAACAGCTCGCTCGCCGGCCGCTGCCGCTGAGCTGGCCGCGCGATCCTGCGATTCACGACCAAACGCGATCGATAAAAACAATGAAAATAGACGCGGCTCTCGGTCGGCTACACGCTACTACATTATCGCTAGGGCAATAAATAATCACCATGAATAATAAAATATACATTTGATTTTAGTTCCAACGTAGTTTAACAAAAAACATGAAAATACAAGGTGTCTAATCCAATAACCTAAGCGGATTCTAATCAGAATTTCACATTGATGCACTTCTGCGATAATGGTGTAGCTGTGGTGGAAAGTTGCATATCGACTTACCAGATGCAGGACAGTGTTCACCACCTCCCGGTTGGTCACCTGTCCGACTTCAATCAGCCCGATAAGAACAGCGAATTTCAGGCTATCGTTCGTCGTCATCCTGACCACTTCTTCAGGTCTTTTGATATCACTAAACGGCGGCGATTTTAAGTCCGCCATGGTTTATTATGTCACAATTCACTGATACACAATTTCAAAATCCACTTACGACCATTAAATTCAAGAAAACATTATTCCTTCGGCTCACATGATAACACACCAAAGTCGCATTCTGCCATTTTGGATTTAGGGTGGTGTTGCCATATGCGATTACCTAAATTTTACCTTTTAATTTCTACTACACCATCTGTCATTATGAAAATGGTAGAAAATATGAATAAGATTTTAGCTCTACCATTTTATTTTTTAATATTATGCACTTATAAGTAGGTATTACATTCTTATTTGACTATCTACTAATGTGCGCCACTGTCTTCAAAACAATTATTTTAAAGAAATAAAGAGTGTGGCCAAAAAAAATTAATGCGCGGATATTTTGTTATTTGCCGACTTTGTAGAACATGATTATTCATTGCAAAGACTGTGGCTTTTATTTTTGATTTTTCTGTATTGTTTTTACAAGTATTCGTTGGAATTCATTGAATTGAATTTAATAACGAAATTAAGGTCACAGTGAAGTTAGTCACAGTTACAAATGCAGTACAAGTAAAGCTACTTTCATGTCACTTTGTTAGAATCAGTCAAAAAGTAAACATGGCGGCGATCGACGTTGAGCCTCAAAAAGTGAGTGAAATTATGTGTATTTCTGTTTATATTCGATAATTATAGAAACGCAATAGTGAATTTTATAGAAGCTATTATTTACTAGTGATCCCCATATTAAAATAAGCCTTTACTTCACTTTTTAATAAAGAAAATTGAAACTAAGGGCGTTGCTCTTCCGACAAAAAAATTGGAATTGAAACCATTGCTGTGTTTATTATCGTTACAGAATAGTAAATATCACATTCCTTTCGACCGGTGTGCAAACAACAAACATTGTGTTTACGTAGGTTAATTGCGTCAATTACGTTGTATCCCCGAATGCGTCGGGTCGAGTCACTCGATAAAATAGTTTGAATTCGGTCAGTGGTGTTGAGATAAGTTATGAATTTTAGATGGAGACGCTAATGCGCACCCTGAAGCTGTCGGGGCACGTCGGTTTCGACAGCCTGCCTGACCAGCTGGTGAACAAGAGCGTGCAGAATGGATTCGTATTCAACATCCTGTGCATAGGTAAGGAAGGACAGTGACTAATTATTGTTCTTACCTACTTTAGCTAATCACCGTCACCCGCCTACATTATCTCTACTATGGTAACATGTAACCTTATTCATTAATCATTAGGTGGTATCTTCATCCTAATAAGCTTACTATTATTATGAACAAAAATACAAATATAATTATGTATGTGCAGGTGAGACAGGGCTTGGTAAGTCAACCTTGATGGACTCCCTGTTCAACACCAACTTTGAATCAGTCCCGAGTCCCCACAACCTGCCTACAGTGAAGCTGAAGGCACACACATATGAGCTGCAGGAGAGTAGTGTTAGACTGAAGGTAAGGTTTTCAATGTTTTATCTTTCCGTCTATGACTCCTGTGTTTTAATATTCATGAATGGAGTTTTGCCACAATTATAATCCTACAATGTAACTAAGTAATGTAGTCAATTACATAAACTTTATATTATATCATTTTTAATCTCCAGCTCTACTGATAACTTGGGCAAGTAATTCTCATAAGGTGTTAAACTTAAAATGTGACCTAATAATTAATCCAAATTACAAATTTAATGTCACATGAATTCTTATTAGATTTTTTTCTGATGTCTACGAGCTAGATTATTCTAAAATTAACTTACAACCTGTGATAAATACACAATTCATGGACTAAATAGGTATTACATTTTCCTGTTAATGTTTAAACTGTCAAACACCAAGCGGTCACCGGTGACCGCAACCTATTGTTCTATAAGTGTCTCCAAAGATGGTACTTGACGAGTTAATTATAGTCTTGATTAATGCTTATGATATAAATGAATAAAATAATTTCTTGGTTTGCAGCTGACTATTTGTGACACAGTGGGGTATGGAGACCAAGTAAACAAGGAGGACAGTTTCAAAGCCGTGGTGGACTACATTGATGCGCAGTTTGAGGCATACCTACAGGAGGAACTGAAGATCAAACGAGCCCTGCCTCAATACCATGACAGCAGGCTGCATGTCTGTCTGTACTTCATTTGTCCTACTGGTAAGTTCATAAATGCCACTAGTTACTCCTACTCCTACACAGTTTAAGATAATACATAACCATCATTAGTTGAATCTATGGTAGGCCAATCCTTTATACATACATACTATACTGTATGTTAATTTTGTTCGTAATTAAGGTCAGTTACATTCATTCAGTAGTTAACAGGTTAGGTAGCAATATAAGTACAAACAAGGATATCTGTTACATACAACAAACATTATCAGTTTGGTTTTTATCACTAATTGATGAAGTAGCCATTTTATTTAGTAAATGTATTGTTTTAATGAGACTGGATGAGTATTTCATTGAGTAATCATAAGCAGATATGTCTCGCTGGTTTAAACAGTAAAATATTTTCATTGATATAATTTTGTTAAGAAAAAAATATGTTTTAAGGTTAAGGATGTTACCAATTTATTTTAGGTGACTATTACTATATGAACTTTCACTACATATTGTTGTATAGATATGATGGCCCACTGGTTGACATTTTTACGACCTGTCCTTGACACGCGCGCGATCAAGACGTAGGATTTATTCAGGCCGCGCGCGACATACTATAATGCCGTCCTCGAATTCTACCGCTCCCTCGAGACTATAACGGGACTCCACAGCACACGAGATCGAATACAATACTTGAATAATACCTGCTTACTTGTTACTACAACTGTGATTGAGGAAAATATTCAATTATTTACCTATATCGAGATATCAAATTTACCTTCCTCGTTTTTATCTCTTCGTTCCAGTAATTCGTAAAGTGATTATTCTAAAGCAAATAATAATAAAGTCTTGCAATTTGATTGAGATATCTTTAGAAAATTATTATCAGTACACCTTTTACGTAAGCCATTGATTTTAAATCCAACGTAAATGTCTCTACGCGTGTAAATCTGATGTCCATCGTGTAGCTGTTCATTTGTTTATCCCCAATTAGTGGTAACATAGGAAGCGCTCGTAATTCCTCGCCCCTGATTGTGTGAGTACACAACAGTGCTGGTGGAATGTAAACAAAACAAGTGCATCGGGCGGGCATGCGTGATACACACACGTAACTCTACACCTAATTAGACATGTACTTGTAGTAGCTAAACTGTGTTTACTTTGTTGACTGGATATTAGTAGATATTATGATTTACCGTCTGAGCAGCTATGACTTGTACAACTTCATCATTTTTGTACTACTACACCGACCTCACAACTCACCTCGCTTAATAAAGAGCGGCAGCTGCCGTGATATGTTGTACTCACGGTACATACGGCGCATTCGAATAAATCAAACAATTGAACTACTTTCAGTACTAAAAGTGGGTAACGTGTTTATTGAGCCTAAAATTGAATTGATTGCCACAGTGTATTATCACGAAAGTTTTTTAACTCTTTCAGTCACACTTTTAACTGGTTACGAATATATTTCATTCAATTATACTGAAATGCTTAAAACCAATGCAAAGTAATTTAAAGCATACTTCAAAAATTGAATTTCTAAGAAAAGGTGGTTAGTTACAGTGACCACCAAGACTGAAAGAGTTAAGAACTAAAAACTGTCTGTAGGTACTTAATTACTCATTGGTACGTACAGTTGACATGTTAATAAACGCATTATAATGTGTGGCTTTATATATGGTAGAGAAAGGGCACACAGATATAAGGAGTGATAACGGAAGTTGCCGCGAGTGGGCTGGCCGCCTGTCGCCACGCTACACTGCGGCGCGCCATTTCTCGGTTTTGTCACACGCGCTACTTGGACACAATTTCATTTCTCATTCACTCAAACTCTAGAGACATGTAATTTGTTGCTATTTCAGCGAACTTATAATTCGTCCAAGAAATAAATCCAAAAAATTTGAGTAAATAAAATAATAATCGAAACTGTTAAGGTCTAAATTGGCACAACAAAGTTAACGAAAAATGTAGGGACATATTTGCATTACACTAAACTTCTTTTTGAATGTATTTTTCTTAATAATAATCCTAGCTACAAGCTAAAGACTTTAATATATAAAAGAATATTGTAAAAGAATAATGTCTTTATTAAAATAATTTCTCATGTAACTTGCAGGGCATGGCCTCAAGTCCATAGACTTGGTGTGCATGAAGAAGTTGGACACGAAGGTGAACATCATCCCCATCATCGCGAAAGCTGACACCATCTCCAAGACAGAGCTGCAGAAGTTCAAGGTAACTCCTCAAAGGAGAAATCATACCTTGCCCCAGTGAATAGTCATGTGTAGATGTTTTGTTGCATGTGAATATGGCGCCAAGTGTCTATTTGTACCCGTTTTAGTAACTATGCCATGTGAAAGTCTACTACTTACCAAACACATACAGTTCAATTTTTCCACTTCTTTGGTACATGTAATGTTACTTCAGTACTTAGGGTTTGTATTCAATCTATTGAAATGTTTAACTTTTATATCACTGTACTCAGAAAGGACTATTTTACCCCAATATATCCAAAAAAGTAGACAGTTCTACTCCAATGCGTATGTTTAATGAACAGGTGATGTATCTTATACAATACTATATTCCGAATTACATAATGTGTTCTAGAATTAACACTAACTACAAATATTGACATACAAGTATGATCTTTCAATTATCAACAAGCAACAGACACAAGCGGACAAACAAACACATTGTTTGTACAACTTGCATCTTACATTGCTATGTATAATTGTATGGCATGTCTACGTGATTCATTCAGTTTTTTACAAGTATGTTGTGACTCATTTCCTTGTGAATTATTACTATACTGTACACATGTGTCATGGGTGTAATTTGGACTTTCTCTGTAATATCATAAAAATGTATCCTTTTTTTCTCAGATAAGTTGGAATGTGTTATTTTTTACAATAAATTCAAGAATAATTCTCACGAATAACAGATTTAGAGCAATTCTTACCACTTCAGTGATTTTGGACTAACTACTCTTAGTCTAATGTTCACGATGCAATAGGTATCAGGTTGTAGTAGTGCAATGACTGCAGTGCAGGTTGTTTTGCAAGTATAATGAGTATGATGACACTCTACTTCCTATCGCCACTTTCACTAAAATATTATTTGATAGTCTTTTTAGTTACGGTTAACTTTGAAATGTTATTTGTGTAATTTTATTAGTATTAACAAAATAAAACACTTATTTAAATATAATTTCATTTATTTGATTCCAGTCTAAAATAATGCAAGAGCTGCAAGCAAACTCTGTGGAGATCTACCAGTTCCCAGTGGATGATGAGTCAGTGACGGAGGTGAACAGCGTGATGAACTCACACATTCCCTTTGCAGTGGTCGGTTCCACTGACTTCGTCAAGATCGGGAACAAGACCGTGCGCGCCAGGCAGTACCCTTGGGGTACAGTGCAGGGTAAGTCATATGCGACATACCTATAAATAAATATAATGTCACTTACTGCTGTTTCTGCTCTCCTGGCAAACTTACAGGGGATAGTCAAAGTTCGACATGACTTAAACTCCTCAAAATAAGGCGGTAATACGCTTTTTATTCTCATGGTGTTGCGGGCGCCGAGTATTCTCCATCAAGTGAGCTGACTAGTCGTTTGCTAAGATATGTGCAATACAAACATCATTGTGTATACAAAAATCACCTTTATCATACAATCAGTATCTTTGAACAATGTCGTTATATGTTGCAGTTGAGAACGAGTCTCACTGCGACTTCGTGAAGCTGCGCGAGATGTTGATCCGCACGAACATGGAGGATCTCCGCGAGAAGACACACGCGCGACACTACGAGCTGTACCGCCGCCGCCGACTGCAGCAGATGGGCTTCACAGACGTCGACGCAGATAATAAACCCGTGAGATGTTTATTATATCACTAATATATCCCCGAGTTGCTTATTCTAAATATCAGAATTGCTACTTTTTTGAAAACAAATTTCATCCACTGTGATCACCCTAACAAATTATTCTCGTTTTTACGTTACGTTCCCATGAGTTTTTAAGGTTCTCTGTTAGTTTTCCCTCACATTCCCCAAAGAATCATACTAAGTTTTAGCTTCGGCTGCAGCTTAATAATCTAATCAGCTTATTAATAATAATCGGCTGTGCGTTTGCTGTCAGTAACTGACTCATTAACGGAAGAGTTTCATTAAAAATACACTGGTTTTAATAAAACACTGTTGTGTTCTGCCCAGGTATCGTTCCAGCAAACGTTCGAGCAGAAACGCAGCGCCCACCTGGCGGAGCTGCAGCAGAAGGAAGACGAGATGCGGCAGATGTTCGTGCAGAGAGTCAAGGAGAAGGAAGCTGAGCTCAAGGAGGCGGAGAAAGAGGTATACATTATCACAAAACTGCACTCTTGAAAATTGTCAGTGACAATTAACAAGTCAATAATTATTCGCTGCTTAGTGTATGGTGATGCGCTTATTCACTCATATTACGTGGGATTCAAAACATACTGGTAAAAAGTAAATGTTACACTTAATATTATATGAATGTTAGGGTGGAATTAAACAGACTTTTTGTAGAAAACACTAAAAACTATAATACAATAACGTAACATAACAACACGTCTTTTAACCCCGAAGGGGTAGGCAGAGGTGCACACAGAAGTAACACCCATTTTTCTCTATTTATGTTATGAGTCCCATGTGATAGGGGGTGAGACTATTACCATATACTGGGCACATTTCCAGACTCCTTGCTACTAATGAGATTTGAAAAAAAAAACCAGTATTACTTTGCCCGACCCGGGAATCGAACCCGAAACTCCTTGCCCGGCAGTCACACTAGCGACAACCCGGCCATCGATGCAGTCCTATTACAATACAATAATCTAAATATATTTTCCAGTTGCACGCAAAATTCGACAAACTGAAGAAGGATCACACGGACGAGAAGAAGCGGCTGGAGGAGCTGCGCAAGAAGATAGAGGACGACACCATCGAGTTCAACCGACGCAAGCAACAAACTGCGCAGTCGCACCACACGCTCACACTCGGGAAGAGCAAGAAGAAGTAACGGGACACGCAACGCATGCAACGTAACGCGCAACATAAACATGCAACCTCCGGCAGACGACGACTTCATCTTTCTACGCTGAGAGTTCCAACTATTGTCGTCTGCTCCATATTCAGTAACTCTACAAGAAGTTTTCAAGATAACAACTATATCAGTAGTTAATTAATTGTGTGACAACTGAGTGTAGTTTTTTACATTTTATCGCGTGAGTAAATAGTTTTACTTTACAATTCTTATGTAAGTTTTTACAATTTACATTTTCAAATAATAATACGATAGGACAAATCTATTTAATTCATGTTAAAACGTAAAATCGTACGTATATCATATATCTTGCTTTGATTTAGTTTTTATTTTGTCACATTGTTCTTATCTCTTTCTTTGTTTATACTTTTATCTGAAACTTTTAACTGTATAGAATTATTATTGTGAAGCGCAAATTTGACCTATTAAAAACGTTTGCTTTGCAAATAAGTCAAAATGAATATGCAAATCTTGTTGAGTGTAGGTACTGGTAGTGTCAAAATAGACATTTTAAATCAAATCTAAATCAATGACACACCAGTGATTGTATGATACCTAAGTATATCTATAGTCAGAATTTTAATTAGATTCCAGATTTGACAATAGCTACTGTCATTTTGTGAAATAATGATACCACATAAAATAGTGTAGTGATGAACACAAAAATCGATAAACAATCAGTGTGTGTGTTTTATAATAAATGTTACAGAAAGTGACAGGATAGCGATAGCGATGACGGCGACAATTTACAAAATAACTTATTACCATAATACATCTATCTGTTTTATTTGTCATGTTCCTTCATGATTGCATTTTTTTATTTATTTCACACACAATTATAAAAGAAAAGTCTCAGATCGTTAATTAATCGTCAAAACTAATTTATCGGTTTAGAAATATTTAATTTCCAAAAATACTTAGTATACGAGAGTAAAATTATAAACATGAAGAATCGATCCAGAAATATTGCATTTCCATATCGAATAATTTCGCAACGTCACTATTTAGTACTTGTCATAACGTTGCAACACTGAAATTGTCAAATCTGGAATCGAATTAAAATTCCGAGTATAAGTGTAATTGGCCAAACGATTTAATCAAGTATGCGGAGTGACTTTACCAAATGTATTAAATGAGATAACTAAGCATTATTTTATTTACAAGATGTAGTTGTAGGGAGGGGTACTCGAATATGTTTTATGGGCTTCTAGTATCGGCGCGGATCATTGGACAAGTAGATATCAGCCATTCCCCTTGCAGTGGAGAGTGTATCCTTGTAAGCTGCCCCTGCATGTGCGAGCACCCCACTATGTGTAGTCCTTAGTTTTATATGATTGTAATAAACATAGTTATGTTTATCATAGTTTATTGTGTACTGACATAACATCGCGTGTAATAAAATTGCCTATTTACCGTAGCGACTAAGAAAATAGCTAGACGTAATAAATTATAATATTTACTATTGCCTTTAAACGATTCGCACGCACTTGACTTTACTTAGATTTTACAATTAAAAAAGTTAATTGGATACCGACAACAACGCTTTACAAACTGTACTCTGAAATAGCGTTATTGTAATAGCTCTCTAGTTGTTTGAAACTAAGTAAACTATGCGAGTTGCAGAGAGGCGGATATAATTATGAACTATTCTCATAGCATTTATTCAGTCATTCCTACTTTAAATTAATTTTATACTTAATTTTGAATTATTTTGTATTACCTGATTAAGGTATTTAATAAATAAATATTAAAATGAAGATTTGTTTTTATTTGACACAAAAATAACAAACAAGGTGGTGCAGGTCGCGCCGGTCCACCAGTAGCTACCTGGCTCAACTCCCCTCGGAGCTGAAGAAGCTGGCTGGCGTCCGAGGACGAACTCATCTAGTCAAATCGAAAACTTTACAATCCAAACACATTCAATTTATCTTCGAAACAACCTCCATTAGTGAAGTCGAGCTGACAAATAATTGTGTACAACCTAAAATAAATATGACTAGAATCAAGTGGACAAACTATAGTTCCCTTCAAAAATGGTCATGATATTTATACAGTTTGGCTTTATTGGTTTGTTGTGAACTATTCGTAATAATTACACTGCAATTACCAATAACATAATTTGTTCATGTTTGTGCTTGCCGACATGAACTCCTACTTCGGGACGAATATGATGTATTCTTGTAGCAAACTATTGGCGAACTTGATACTTCTTTTCGTATAGAAGTTCTTTTTTCAGTTTAATATTTTATTTAGTTAGTAGTAATATTTTTATTTCATCGACAACTTCGGTTTACGGACGAGATGTGCACTGATTATTCGACGAGGGGAATAATTTTGCTTTTGAGTGACACACAGACCCTGAAGTAAGGGTACAAGTATGTATTCATAGTACGTTCAATACCATCTTTCTGTAAGTACCTATTAAATATTTTCTGTAGTAATTCAAATGTGACTGATGAACATTCTACAAAGTAACTTAGTGTTAATAGTAATTCCATACATATGACATTATTTATTAATTCCACCGTGTAATGTAGCGCTAGACGAGTGAAATAGTGAACGGTCGCGGCAGTTCGTAGCACATGGGTCGGTACATCTTGTTGTAGTACGTGTAGCGTCGCTTGTGCGGCGTCACGGAGGCCCGCACCGGCACCACGAGCCGCCCCGCAGCCACCCCGCCCCCGCCCGCGCCCGCGCTCGCTGCCGCCTGCCGCCGACACTGCGCATGCATTCATCATTAACATTTTGATGTTTAGTAATCGTGTAATGTAATGTTTTAACTTTCTTACCCTTTGAATCTTGATTTATATGTAAGTTGAATTTAGGTCATTCGGTTAATTGTATTCCTATTTAGTTTCGTTTTGGACCTCGAAATGGACTTTAGTAAGATATGGTCAACTGTTGTTGGTAAACAGGTTCAAGAAAGATGTCCTAAGTACCATGATGACTTAATGATTCAACTGCTACTTACGTATGAAGCACTAAATCAACTTGTGCGTATTACGCCATGGTGTCGCAGTGCGCCAATCTCAGTGCATAAATAAAACAACTACTTAATTGAATATCAAAAAGTTTATTATCAACCATACATAATTAAACGTTGGCACAGTATTGCAGATAGGTAGGTCGGCAGTTACATGTATATCACTCTGTATAGTATAATGCTAAGCTCAGGTTATTATATTATTCTCACCAAGTCTAAAGCTACACTAGATACTGTCAATAGGACTAATAAAATGGATCACTTTATCGTGATAGTAGATAAATTATTCGAGAAGGGCCGCGGCAAGGTAGGTGTATGTTACCTTTGTCTCATGTTTTCCCGTACGTTTCGTACTCTGTATGGACCATTAATATATTGTAGTTATGCTGTATCTATATCATCAAATATTACATTCGCTCTCGCTTGACGTACACGTACTTACAACATATTTGATATTTTGATAATTAGTTCCACGGACACAGCATAACTTGGAAGACCATCGAGGATGCTATACCCTATAATATCTTAGTGTACGGTTCACGGGCTTCAAACATTCTCTCTTAATTTACAAGTAGGGAAGGTTTGGTTAACTTCTACAACTTCAAAAAGCGAATTTTTAATAGTAAATTGAACGACTACTAAATCTGTCTTGACTCCTAAGACTATCACTATCGCCGTACTCGTACAGTAATGATAATGAACACAGTGACTTATGTTTAGTGTCGCAGGACTCGGTAGTGTCCATCTAGTGCGTGTATACCTATCGTCAGTGCAAAAATATCCTCTATCGATTCATATGAAAATATACCTTGTGTGGATTATACAACAATATTTGTACCGTGGAGTCGCATGCGCGTGAGGCCACAATCGTGTGTTGCTATCCTAACTACAAAATACATCGATTACTGTGCATCACTGAATCCAAACAATCATCAAAATAAAATAAACACAATTTCAAAAACAAATTCTACATAATCACTTACTTTATTGTCAAATGAAAAAATGCGAAATTATAAAATTATTATCACACACACGTAAAGAAAATAAAACTAAAATAGTTCTCAGAAATAATAAAGATTCGAAACACAAAGAATAATCAGATTAGCAGTAATTATTGCAATTGGAAAATATCATTAAAGTAAACTTATCGTAGCGTACATTATAATTACAATAACAAATTCATTATGACTAGTTCTCCCGTACAGATGGAGTGCATGAACGTGTCACTTACATTACAGCGACTACTTACTAACGAGATGATTAACACGAGATTGCTCAGTAAAGAGATCTAAATAATGCTTACATTACCAAAACTAATTGAACTTTAATACCGATGCCTTAGCTTAGTGTGTCAAACTTTAAAACTAGTGGAATGAATAATTGACGCGTCTATTTATTATCTGGGCGGCACCTCCCGTGGCGGGGGACTTCTGTATTTGGCTTTTATGTGCAAAAACGGTTTCTTGGAGGAGGTGTCGTCGGCGATGGTGGCCGCTAGTGACAGTCTGATACTCTCCTCGATGGCGGCCTGAGTCATCGCTCCATTCACAGAAATACTTTTGTTCAGTGGTTTGAAGTCGACAGGAGTCGCCAAACTCATACTCCTAGTCTTTTTAGCATAGCCATTGGTCCCGTTAAATGTTTTCTTGGGCTCGTTTACGGGAGTGGAAGCGAGACTCTGACTGCGAGTCTTCTTGGTGGCCGCGGTGTCGGTGGGGGTGGTCGCTGCGCTGGTACTCCTAGTTTTCTTCACCTGGTTAAGTCGGTCTGTACCACAAAATGTCCTCTTGTCGTCCTTCTGTACGTGTGCCAGACTCATACTACGTGACTTCTTGGGTGTGGTGGGTGTGGTGGCCAAAGCAGCGGAGGTGAGTGATTTCCTGTGCTCTACGGGAGGCGTTCTAACAGATCTACCAGTTGGTGTGTTGGGGGTGCTGAAGCTGGACGGTGCAGACTGCTTCCTGCTGCGCGCTGCGGGGGACTTGGGGGAGCGCCCGTCTACTGAGTCGGCGCGCAGGGGAAGAGTCAAAGCGGAGCGCAAGCTCCTGGCAGAGGTCGGTTTGACAGGCGTGGAGGTGCGGCGCGAGTCTGGCAGTGGGGAGCTCTTGCCACTGCTGGCTTTACTGGAAGCACGCGTGGAGCGGCCACTGCGGAGCTCCACGGGAGACGTCTTGCCGCTGATGGAGGAAGCTTTGCTATCGACGGGTGAGACGGTGCCGGCTACTGAACACTCCTTGGTGAGCGAGGCTCTACTGCTGGCGGGTGAGAGTGCGGGCGCGGTGGGCTCGTCCAGGGGCACGGGCAGTACGTCGCGGCGGCCCTGCGTCACCAGCCGCACCTGGCAAGGCTCGTGGCGCGACAGGAAGTGCTCCAGCGTGTCCCAGCCACCGCCCACGCGGACCATCATGTGGCGACCCTTCAGCAGCTGCAATGCATCACAAAGTATTGTTAATATAGAACATATTATTTTACATTGAAATGATTAGATACTTATTATTTTTTAAACTTAAAAAGATACTGTTCCAAGTGGACTTACCCTGATGAAAACATTTCGCCCAGCGATGTTGTATCGACCTTCTCCAACTTTCTTCACCTTCAGCAGCTTAGAGCACTTGCCCGAGCTGCAGCTACAGCCGCGCTCCATCAGCCGAGTCACCAACTGTACCTGATAGGAAAAGATAACTTGTAAAAATTTATTCTACAGTTAAATTTAAAGTCAATGAATATCTTCGGAACAAACTGACACAATCAAGTCTCAATTAACACCTTCCTCAGAAACTTTATATATATAATTATATAAAATATATAAACCCATTATATATTTATTTTTATATTATATTATATTTTATATTATATATTTACATATTATATCTATGTTTCATATTAGTATGTAGTATTGGTATGTAGTTTATGTACTAGGATACCTTTATACATATGTACGTACATTTATCACCCTCGTTTTTATTTTTTTTTCGATAGATGCAAACTTCTTTTAAAGCCTACTGTAACACTTCTCTGCATCACCTTATGGTTGGCTGGTAGAGAATGCCATTCGGCATTAAGTCCGCCATTGTATACAGTTGTACATAAAGTGTTAAATAAATAAATAAATAAATAAAAATACATCCTCATAAGAGTTTTTCATCCTGATCTTAAACAATATTTCTACAGGTCTGTTCACATCTGCTGTAAGTATAGAGGTATAAGTACGTACCCTCTTGTCAAGTTCATTGGTGGGTTTGAGAGGCACGTCGGAGTCAGTGCTGGCGACAGTCCCCTCCGATTTGGTGCTCTCTGCGTCTGCGTTGTCCACCGCCGACAGTTGTGCTGTTACAGAAACACCATCTTGTTAGCATCAAGAAACATCTCTTCAAGTTATTTTATTTCAATGTGTCAATAAATGGAAATACTTACAGTCTGGATCTGGTGTTTTTGGCGGTATTTCATTGGCAGATCTGCGGAATAGACAGCTTTCATTATTACCTCATTTCGAGAAATACACGCACCAAATAATAGATGGTTAGTTAGGCTTTTGTTTCGATATAAAAGTAATATGAAATGTGAACTAACTTTTCATCGCGCGGTGGTGGTGAAGAGTCCCTGAACTGCCAAGCAGTGGCTGACATGGCGGAGTCCAACCCCGAGTCCCGTTCCTCCAGCGCGATTTCCTTCTCCAACTGCACCAGGCCTGGCGGCTCCACATTGAACTTGGTGGCGAGGCGAGCCACCTCCAGCAAGCATAGGATTACCTGTCGCGGCTGGTTGTGCAGTACTACAGGCACATAAAAACATTAATTAATAACATTTACTTAAATAGCCGAATTGCGTCATCGAGTGCAGAAATGTGGATGGAAACGAAGAGGAAAGAAACGATTAATTGTGTTAGGAATGTCGTAAAAGGAAAAGCAGATTTAGTTAAAATATAGGTAATGGATTGGTTGGTAGAAGACGATTAATGCGCCGATGCCAAATAACTATGGAAAAGGGCAGAAAGGAAGGCATAATATACAGTATATTGTGATCGACATAATTAAACTTACCAAGATCATCGCTTTCAAAGAGCAAGTTCTCATGCACACCGAGCTCTCGGCAGAATGTGATGAAGTTCTCGGTGTTGTCGCGGGAGAAAAAGCTGCGCCGCGCCGCGCGCTGCCAGCAACGGCCGCGGATCTGGGGCACCGGCTGAATACACATAAACAAAATCAGTTAACACTGTTTTGTTAAAATAATGTATGTTCATTTCGAAAAGATGTTACAAGGATTGTGGAGGGTAGGGACACGGCCGTGGCTCCGGTGACATTTAGCCGAATCTGATTAAAACTCAGTGCCAACCCCAAACTGGTAAAAAAGAGATAGTTACTTAAATATACTGACCCCCACAATGAGTCCCTGGTCAAGCGCCTCCCTAGCGCGGTCGTGTATGACTGCAGCCAGCTGACACAACTCCACACCATTGTCCAGCACGTCCAGGAAGTTCTCTCCCGTCAGGTACGTTATACCTGGAAACAATAAAACATGTAATTTTAGGAAATGTTACAAAGGACACGTATCAGCGGATCACCACTGCATTCAATGGTCAGCCCTTTTTATACAATGTAAGTACAAATGCTGAAAAAGCACAATCGTGACGTTCGCAACCAATCGTGATATAAAGACCATGGCCACTGCCAAAATGTGTGACGACGAAGCAGTTTAAGAAGTGGTCTCTGGGGTTTATTGTCATCTTAAACGAAAGGAGTAACGAAGGGAGTTGCTTGCTCGTTCTTTTCTAATGGAATCTACATTTTGGAATGAGCACCTAGCTTCATCTAGCTTCACTGACGGACTGACTGACTGACAGACTATTATTTATTTTGTATTTTTTGACGTTTCAAAAGTACCAAATTATGGATTAATTGACTTTGACTAAAAAAATAAATAAATATACCGATGCAAACCAATTGCCACTACTATTTTGACGCCTAAACAGTAAAGAGACGTAGAAAGCAACTTAATTTGATTTTTTAGCCAACATCTTGTATTCTAATTGTGTATCCAATTATTGATTTTTTTTTTCTTAAAGAATGCGGTGTTCGCCTGTAATTGATTGTAACATTTTACTGTTATCTTAATTAAATGTTTGTTATTTAATGTAAGAATGTATACAATTGTTGGTGGGCCAATAAAGATAAATAAATAAATAAATAAAAGGATCGTTTATCGTAGCAGAATATGAAAGCTGTTAAGCTTTGTCGCTGTGTACAATGACATAACGTATTCCAATCTCATCATTAATGTTACTTCAGCAGTTCCTACTCCTACTAGCTATTAAGTAATATTTCCAGAAGTTCTAAGAGGAAACTTATCTAAGCGGCTATAGAGATACAACTATCTATTGCGAGTCATAAAGCTTTACTAGCACCTGACATAATGTTTAATATCCGTTCCTCGTTTTATTGACCATTAAATCTTTCCTATAATACTTGTAGTGCAGACCCAACATAATACGATGTGTGGTAGGTCATCACTCAGTATGCAGTTGAAAGATATCAATGGCTCATGTTATATTCATTTGGTATCATTGCGAAATTCACAAGCTTCGTCATGTTTACAACGTTATGACAGTGTTGCATCGCATTCATTTAGATACACGGTGAAAAGTTTGTTCAGTCCTAAATTCGAATTGTAGTTAAATTACTTATATCTATGATAACTGCTTATTATTTATTCAGGAAGTGAATCCAGTTTCATAGAACTCAAACAAAACCTTATAAAAACAAATGTCTTACGGTTGCCAGCCCCGTTAGAGATTATTGAGTGACGGCTTTTTACAGATCTGGCATTTTCTTGGAGCTAGCATTGCTGCGGTCCGCGGAGCGTGCCGCGTGCGTGCCGGCCGGCCGTTGTAGACGTAAACAATGTGATTTAAATCTTCCAACAAGTACGCGCAGTAAATAATTTGGAATTACGAAGCGATAAACATCGAATGATATGTGTGCACTCCAAGAACTAGCAACGTGTGAGTAAAAAAATTTTTCAGTAATTTCTAAATTAGTTCGTTTACTGTGCGGAGTAATATTCACTTCCTGCAATACTCCATTACTACAGGTGGCATCAGACACGTCGTTATATAAATAAACTTGCCATATTTGTATAGTTATAAGGAGTGTGCAATTCCAGCAATAATTACGAGGCGCCAAACCGGGACGGTGAACTTTCACGACGGACGCAGGCAGGCAACGAAATCGATCGCATTCTCATGACCCTAAGCCGCTGGAGATCTTACAGCCTCCGCGGTCTCTTGCTACCCTGGTACCTCTGAGGCTTATTAATCGACGACCTTTGAACTTATTTTACAACGGCCGATATTGGGTACCAGCCTATTGGGTGAAGGAAATAAATTAAGTAGGAATATTATTGAACTACATTTATTCGGAGTAATAAAATAATTAAGGACGATAATAATAGATGATCAGTGTCTTGTAGACCTGGGGAGCATTGGTTCGACGTTGTTAGAACGTATCGACAAAACGTTCAGTTCTGTTACGGATGAATTAAAGCTAGCAATGAATCGTAGAATTCCACGATCTTTGAAACACTTTTAGGAATATCTTTGACTATTTGACAATTCTTCCATACTAAAATAAAGTTTTATTCTAAAGTTAAGAATTAACTGATGATCGAAAAATGGGCCCTTAGTGTAGGTAATCGAATTTCATTCATTCAGCTAATTTTGTTCAATTGTGTATTGCAAGTTGAAACAGACTCCGAGTGGAACCGATGAAGTTATTTATTGTGTGCAATGAGTACCTGCAATCTCATGGCAGTATGTGCTCCGGCGCAAGGAACCGGCTTTAGGATGCGCGGGAGATACATGTGCGATGTATATATAACGTGAGCAAAAGATAAATAATATCGGCGCGACTGTGCGGGACCACCCACTGACTACAAACTACAAGTAGATGGGCATGGCATTACTAGGACTTCATAGCACTGAGATAGTTCGCGAACATGTTCTTACTCATACGATAGGCGCTTACATTCCGTCGTACAATTTGATTATATCTTTATCTTTGTAATGCATTTAAAAGTATTGTTGGTACACAATGTACTTAAGTCAAAAAATCTATATTTTTTCTATGGGAGCGCTGGACTTTAGATTTACATTAGATCTTGGTTTACAGAAGTTGCAGCGGTTGGGAAGTTGTAGCGCACTTGTCTCGAAAAATTAATTTCAATGGTTAAAAACGACTGGAGACCTGTAACCAGAAAAGAACTGCAGTCCGCAATGACAGATATTCCCATTCTACTTTGAAGGTTGAATCTTATTTATGTTTTTATTATGGCGATTGTAATATTTCATTGTAATGTACAGTGTACAATCCATGGCTACACAGGGTACCTACACTGCAACAATGGTTGTTTCGTAGCAACAATCAAGATTGCAGTGTATCACGTACGCGACTCCTATTGAAATGTTTTAATTGAAAGTCAACCGATCCGACGAATGGATCGCAACTTCGCATGCTAAAATATGTGAACAAAGTATAGCTAACTGAGATCTCGCGATAATTGGTGGGCACTCAGTATTAAGCTTGGTGAAAATCCTTTTCATGCATCCAACAGTCTATAAATGCCAACTGTTGAGCACAGCATCTACCGACTTGTCTCTCGCTTCAACTTCGCGCAATGAGTGTCGGGCTGCGCGATGGCTTCACGACATTCCCACACTAATTTTATTGTCGTGATACAGTTTATAAATTTATTTTATTTTTTTTTTCCTTCGGTGACGGTACACGTTACAATTGTTTATGTATGCATACTCATTTTTATTCATTTATTTATCGCACAAGGTACATACTTAGAAGTCTGTTTTTATTCTTCCTTTTATTTTATTATTATCATTATATTTTTTAACATGTGTCTTATGTAACTATTTTATTTTCCTTAAAATTATTCTTCGTTGCTTCCGTCCGTGTGTCACTGCAGGGGTGCCAACTGAAAACCAGTGTTGGGTACTTACTGTGCCCAGCTCAAACTGAGTTGGCGAGCCCTTTCGCCGCGGACATGCTGCCACCCTGATTTTTTTATTTTTTTTCTTTTTATTTTGCTTTTTTATGTTTTTTGCATTCATTGTTGTTTTTATTTTTTACTGCTGTTTTTTGTATGTTATTATTGTTTTGTTCTTATTGTTTTTTATTTTATTTTATTATTTTTTTGTGTGTGTGTGTTATTCGGTGGTCCATGTCGGTGGCGAATAAATTATTTTTCTTTTCTTTCTTTCTTTCATCTTCTCACACAGAGAAGATTTAAGCATTAATCGCCACGGTTGCTCAACGCGAGTTGGCGATTTCTCTCGATGCTTTTCTTCACCGTTTGTCAGTGTGTGTAAATAATCTTAGAAAATCCTTTTCATACTGAGAATCAAAGGAATAGGAATGAATGACCATCAGTATGACCAAGATTGTTCTGCTCAGCTCTGTCTCGTTCTGTATAGAATCGACAATTTAGACTTTACTTTAATAGCAATGTTTTCATCGTTGGTTATACTAATGTCCAAATAAACTTGCTGCTAAACGAATGCCCACGCCACGTTACGTATATTTTTAATCCTTCAGGAAAACAACGCGACTTTCTGGAGGTTACAATAAAAACACTACAAATTAATTCTTAATAATCTTCAATACAAGATTATGAATTCGTCAAGAACAATGGTTCGGTGGTACCAAATGTACCAATACTGCAATGAACCGGTCTTTTGCGGTTCTCCTTCGCAATTAGTGCGACAATAATCGAAGCTGACCGCAGCTCACAAAATGAATACATTGCTGATAAATATTTACGTCGGTCAGTCGGAGCAAGTGCAACAACGACTCACGTGACCTAAGTAAGCGAACTAACCGGCAATGATTTGTTTTCGGTAATAATATTCACACTAAGATCAGTAAAGTTAAGATGCGCAATCTGCATGTAGATGCAGTCTCTCAGTTATTCCATAGACAGCTGATTTGATTGTGGACACCGCGAGGACACCGGTGACCGCAACCTATTTTTCTTTACTTGTGTCTATAATGACGGTACTCATATGGTTATTGGGAAATTCGGCAATGTGAGCTGTATTAATCAGTCATCTCATAGGCCTAACAGTCCAGTGTGATAAGATAAATAACTTAAATATGTAATTCAGGATGACAATAAAAGTGATGTGGTCGTATCCGAGGGTAATGCCATTAGTTGAATGACATCCATTTTCCGTACACATACATTTGATTGTAACGGGTCCCCACTCGTGTCCGTGAGAAAACATCTCAAATTCGTGAACGCAGAATTAAAGACAGCTTATTATTCAAATGGAGAATATGTAATTGCATTTAACCTTAATTATAAATTTTCCCAATAACGGTATCATAAGGATGCCCGCGCAGCGATGTACAGTGCGCCTGCGCCGATTAACGGCCCGCCAACGGAACTTCTATATTGCAATAATAATAACTCCATAATTTATAAGGTGTTACTTTACGTGCTGTTATCATTCATTATCATTTAAGACATGAGATCACGCGGATTGTTTCATTGTTGTGGTCCTGTGCTAATGTTGATATCTTGGATCTAAATAAAGCAAAGCAATTAGTAACTTGTTTTCCTGTCGGTACTTGAATGTATGGTTTCCATTAACAATGTAAACTGTTTTTCGCATTCATCATATTTATTGCGATGATGAAGCAACTAAATTGTAACTGTTCAAGCATGTAGTACTCGCTTGGTCTATTGACTTCTACCAAACGTAAAATAATATTTAAATATTCATAACAACGCGTCTAGGCAGCGGCAGTTCATACGAGGCACTACTGTGCTGACGGTACAGCCTAATATTATAACATTAGCATTTTATGCACGCCTAGTAGGTACCCTGCGCACTTTAACCTGGTAATTAAATAAATTGCTGTCTGCTTAATTAAAATACATATCTCCAAGCTAGGTAATTAGCACTTACTGTAGAAGTGGCGACCGTACGATAGTTTAAAATAATATTATTCGCTAATTTTGGTTAGAGTGTAACCGCTCCTGTAGTTGTAATTGTTGTTCCAATATCGAGGGCGACGCAATTACACAAACCATTGAAACTGTAACTCGCGACAGCTAATGATCTAATTATAGATACGATGCAGTCCATGTATGTGAGTGCACATGCATGGGTTACATCACGATTGCGTGGTCCTGTGTCGTCAGCCAGGCAGGCGGCGCGGCGGGGCGGCCGGTGACCCGCCGCGGCCGGCACTCGCGTGTGACGTCGCCAATCATGCGTTGCACTAATTACTATTTACTAATCACTCGCCTTACCTATGTTACGGTATCGCGCACTGCCCTACATACGTGACGCCATTCCTATCAAACCACCCGGCATCGCTTGCATCGCTTGCACGGCACATTCATGAGTTCAATGAAGCGTACAACATTGAACAACGTGCGAACATATTGCACCTCTCATGGTAAACTGACAACTGTTTCTTGTATATAAAGCTTACATTGTCTTGTTGAAGTACGTAATGGTGGTGGTGATGATGATCACATGACAGACAAATATGTAAGAAAGGAGATGTGTGTGAGAACGTAATATCTGGCTCGTGCGTGCCATGTTGGTTCATAAGACACAATAATCTGTTATAATGCCACCATTACGGAGATTATCGTGAATTATATCGTTAGTACGGAGGAGGGAAGAATTTCCCAAAGAAATGATAATGTTGTGACGTTGTGAAATAATGACAGACGTTGGGAAGTTGCGAGGAGTAATGACATTAGTTAGAGAACAACACAAACATCAATAGCAATATTTTTACTCACAAGGATTTCATGACAGTGCTGGAGGTCGGGGCGGATATTATGTTTTATTGCTGTTGCTGTTGTATCGTTCCGATAACAATCAAGGAAAATCTGAAGGAAGCAGCTCATTACAAACGAATACATAACTGAGTGGCTTAGTTTCCATACAACATTTAATTCATTAATTTGTAAGACCTACTATAGCATCTTATTTTCTTACTTCTAAGGCGAACAAATGATATTACTTATACTATACTATAGTTTGATGGGTAAGAACACGTTTGCGACACCTTTGAACGAGTGTCGTCGTAAATCTGCGCATTTGTCTTCACAGTGCGAGTGGCACGTGGGCGGCGCGCGGCGTGAAGGTGTCCATCCGTTTCGCAATGCCACTCCTCGATACACAGACCTCCTCTAGTACGTGTCGCCCTAGTACCTTCACTAAACTATTACTAGAAATGTGCTGGATGTACTTCTCAATTCATCGATTTTTAAATCTTACACTCTTATTGGTTAATAACTACAACAATAATCATAACAGATATCACTCAATAATAGCTTATTTGATATAAATCCGCGCCGGTAGTTAACTTTATTACTTATAGTGTTTGTTATGTTGATTGTATGTCCACCTACACACATAGATATGTGAGTGTTGTCATAGGATGGCAGTATTATAGTAAACTGCTAATTATCAACACATAACGTGGTCATATAGCCCACGCTCAGACTCGCCGGCTCGCCACAAAAACACCGCGAGCTCACCTATATGGCAGCGATGATACAATCGCACGCCATACAAATTGTTCTTTATTATTACCATTCCTTGGCCCTGTGTACTACTATGCAATATATTTCAATAATTACAGACAGAGTTAATCGCATTTTGATTTGAATTTATTGATATTACTTTTTATTAATTTGCTAATCATTACTGAATGAACAACTAACTAATACCAATCTTGATTTCAAGTTAGACAGTGATGTTATGTTTAAAGGCATTATTTTGTTTTGAAACAAATGTTGATGTCAGAAAACTTCCTCAACATATTGGTTGGTAACATGACATCACTAATACTGACAGATATCACTTTTACATTGAAAATCAGTCTCCGGCTCGAAATGTGCAACATTTCGTTTGCACTCACCTGCCATTTGCAGGTCGGAGAAACTCGTAAAATTGCAATTTTTTACGCTCGTTTCAAATTATATAGTTAAGTCATACAACGTGTCTTCAGAACAATTTCCAGGCTTTGTTTAAGCTTTGCTTTCAGTTAAATAGTTTATTTTTTAACAAGTAAAAGTGTTTGTTCACTTCGGTGTGATACGTCACTTACCGATAGTCTTGTTAATCCAGTCGGCCAGGTCCTCCTGCAAGGGGAACAGCTGCCTCGCCTGCGAGTACAGTATCTTCTCCCGGTAGAAGTCCTCGTCCTCGGAGCATGGTGTCTGCGCCGCCAGCGCGCAGTCTGCCCGCTCGAAGCTGCTGCTCATCTTTCTATTCACTATGATGTCTCCATGACCGATATGACGTTCCTCTTCTTCTTTTCCTCCCTCAAATGAGTTCCGGATGTACTCGAAGGCATTGGTCCTCTCAAAAGCATTAAATATTCTATCAAAGTTGCCGCTCAGTGGTCTATCATAGCTCTTGGGCTCCACGGAGGTGGGCGACGTGACCGGGCCCCACGAGGTGCGGCTGCCGATGGCTGTCGGCCCGCACCGGTAATACGCCATTGTCAAGGCTTCCCTGTAACAACAACATTAACTAATAAGTCTCCATTGTGAACGACAACAAGTAAACAACAACAAACATTCTGTTACAGTGGCTATTATAAGTAACGAGAGTTTTGATGAGCGTTTCTGCAACATAAATGAGTTTCAACAAAAACCTAAACTAGATAATAAAAGAAGTTTAAAGAGTTCGGTCGCGGAACAATTTTCTGCACGAACCTCATTTACATGTCTGACAAGGGCCGTGCTCTGTTGCTCGGTAAAACTTAACTAATGATGAGGCGAAGGTCGCTCCGCTGCGCTGACAGACACTAATTAAGACACAAAGTGTTCACTGACATAAAAATATGAACACTGACCGACAGGAGGTTACTTACAGACGGACGAGAGCCGACAGGTTTGCCAGAACTTAAATAATGTTATAGCTAATGATAATTGGCTGTTTCGTTTTGATGCGGAACGCCCACAGTTTGGTGGGTATGCAGTCAATCAATTTGGGTTCATTATTGAAATAATTTGTAACCAGGTTATCAAACAAGCAACCTAATGACATTGTTGGATGTGTCTCAGTTGCTGCAGTGCACGAGCCATGGCCGCGGTAGATTGTCTTTTGTTTGCGGATTTTCATTCGGCTTGCGTGATTGCGTCCCCACGACATCGGCGCCGAAGTTTGGTACCTCGCCGGTAAAAAGACAAAAGAAAAGTCGCCGGCAGATCACACGGTGCCCATATACGTCCCGGTCGTGATGCGACGTACTTCAGTACGTGACGCGAATGGGCTCCCTACACTACACAAGTACACGCGTGCGGCGGTATTGTTCTCATTGCGGTTCAATATCGAACGAAGATGTTCGGAACACAACTTTACTAATAAATACTAAGTTTAAACTGTTTTAGTGTCAGAAATGTCTAAAACGTTGAGTCATGCGTTTGGAACATGTCTCCGGAATTCATAAAGTGTGAAGGGAAAGGCTTTAGGTACAGCCTATGACATAGATTCCTATAATCTTAGCTCATTGTACGTTATGTACATTCCGCGAGAACTGCATATTATTAGTGTTGTCGAGGCGGACACTAAACTGCACGCTACAATCATTGTCACATGCAGGAGCATGCGGCAGTTACGAAATGAAGCCTGTGAGCAGAGCAAAGCACACTGCAAATGCAGTTATACAGAACACACGACACCTTTGTATTTATATAACTACAGTCAACTGAATCAGTCAATCAGACGTCTGGGATGAATACTCGATATTTGTTGGATTATTCAAAGTTCATGTGGGGGCAGCTTTATGTCGTGTTGTGTGGCGTGGTGCCCGTGAGCACGTTCCCAGACTACGGGTTGTACAAACAGGAACCGTGGTGGAAAATGTTAACCAAATTATTATACTTCATTTGCTACACTGAGTAATCTGCACTGAAAGTAACCACCCACCGTGCACTTTCATGCAAAATAAAATAAAATTGCAAAAAGGCATAATAACAGTTTAAACTTAATATAATACTTAATGTTTATTCAAATGAGTTTTTCCCATGAAATTACAATATTTCCCCCCATGGGGGGTAATTTATGTGAATGGGAGCAACCGGGACAGAACCGCGCGGCGTGCGGCGCGCCCGTCTGCGCCCGTCCCGGCAGCACAACGGCGATACGACACGGAAACCGCGGGGAAATCGATTTCAACCAATTGGGACATTATTTTGCATGTCATTACTATCGTTCTATTTCAAAATGTACCCTTTTCCCAAAACGTAGAGTACACTTTTCCTCGATTCCTCTGTTGATGGAAGATAGCACGCGAGAATTGCGGTGCAGGCGACTCGCGGTTTTCTTCATAACAATTCGGGAAAATATAATAATATTATTCTGAAAACTTAAGTCGTAAAGCTGTATCGTACATTCGTAACACTTACATAAAATACAGGGAAATATCGAACCAAAATTTCACGTAAAATCACATGTTAATACATCAATGATATTTTGAAGAGAAAATGAAAGTGCGTGTTTTCAGTCAAGTACGCATTTTACGAGTTTCTTAATTGACTTGTACTTATTGAATTAAGATAGGAACCATTAGAACACTTTCAATGACTAATGTGGCACTTTGTATAATATGGCACATAGACTAAAAGAAAAATGACCGCAGTACCTAAATAATCAGTAGAATATTCCGTTAATTATATATTTTAACACACAGTCACAGACGCAGTGTTCCTAGCATCAATCTCCATCATGTGATCGAATCGAACCTATGTTGTGTTACCCACGCGCCGTGGCCCTACTACCATGCTCACTGCACAGGGTTGCCAGTACAATAGAGGTAGTTATTATGGAAAAATAAAGTAAAAAAGAAAACTTCAACTTCCAACTTTAGTTCCGATTCAAACGTAATTGTTATATTTATCGTCTAGAACCTATTAATTCCCCTTAAAAAGTACCTATTTATTATTTATTTATTCAGTTTCTGCTCAGTGCTCAGTGCAAGATACTTTGACTGTCTCATTATTATCACAGAAATGAGATAAACACGAATTTAATGCAGCCCCTATTTGTTTTATAATTTTACGATGGGACAACTGTAATTGTATCTCTGATAGATAACATACGCTTAGCTCTCAGGGCTTTGGTGAGTGCACAAGTCCTGTGCAGGTCAGCCCTACATCGTGTAGGTCAAGTTGAGCGGGCTGGTCGGTGGGCCGGCCGTCGGGCGCGTCGTTCAAGAAAATCGTCCATTTACGCAAATTACACGCAGCAATGAAGGTCTCCACTCCAGGCGGCTTTTTCATTACTGACTATAAGATAAGATGCTCTTGAGCCCGTTTACACGGTGCGTTTGTGTGATTGGTGGTGGCGAGGGACGACGTTTTTATTGACAGCTTAAGCTACTTGGCTGATAATAACTACAGCAAGTGATTCAGACTGGTCAGTAGTAAAATCTTTGAGTTATTGAGAGGAACTGAAGGATCAGACAAATGAAGCACACGATTAGTCAAACGACTGGTACTTAATGTCCAATTCAACGTTAAATGGGATCAAAGTGATTGAATAATGCGACGACGTTATTGTCCCCAAGTGACTAGGGTAACAGGAACATCGCAGACATGTCTCAAAGTCTCAAGTGAGTGGCTGCCGCCTGGTCGTCGAGCCGTGGTGCGTTGACTCCTGTGCGCTCCTTAATTGGATAATCACATTCACTCCGCACAGAGCCGACTGAATCCAGCTACGAATGCAACTCGCACGCACATTTTTACATTTAGCACATAGCTTTGAAGTCAATCGTTAAAAATTAATTGAAAAATCCACTGGTGACCATTCTTATTGTCTTAAAAGTCTTAAGTTTTAACGCAAATTTAACATCGTTAAGCACATTGGTTGTAAACCCATATAATATATGACATAACATTACTGCGCTGCGTCGCGTGCCACGCTCTGCCATTTGCATTGTGACAAAACTCATATGGATTAAGAACCGCACGCAAGGGGATAGTCTCCTGAGGGTATGGCTGCCTGGTACCTCGCTGGCTTCATACTTAGAAGTCAGGGAGTTCATATTCATAAGATTGTTTATGTTGTCCAAATGTCCACTCGCTTATAATGTAAGGAGGGGGTTTAGCAAGAATTTGTAAATGTAAAATGTATGTAGCAAGTGGGTACGGACTACCGAGTTGTCCAACATGGCGGAGGACTGGTCGCCGTGCAGGAGGTATCTGTATCTGGCACGTGTCATCGACCCGGGAAGGGACGCGCCGCCTATCCGCACGGATCATGTCGAGAGATCGCAGATACTTCAATTGATCCTGTCGCATTCAGAAGACAGTGCGCAGGAAAACGGCACTTTATGCCTAATTGTGTGACTGCTGGGCTTGCAGGACGTGTGACCCACAACGTACTGCCCACACCTAAGACAGTGATTTTATGATTGATATTTGAATTAACAACCAAGAAGGCAATATCAAATTTGCAGCATGTGCATGTATGAAATGCAGCATGCAGTCATAAAAGAAAATATTTTGCGCACGAGTTAATCGAATCGGATTCGTATTATTGCAGTAATTCCTAAAAGGTCGGCTTTTACGAAATGAGTATGGTAAACATACGGTTACTTAGTTAAGAAATGTAATTGGTTGCCCCTTCAACTGTCTTCAAATACATGTTATCTGCATTAAGATAGACAGACAGGTAGATATAAATAAATGTTGTAAGTTGTAATCTAACAATTTCACAATTAGATAAGTAAGTAAATTGTTGTGTCTATAAGGTCTATAATCCTGGGTTTTGGTTTATAGGACGCCATCGGTTGCCAGATATTTTAATGAAAAACGTGCGGAAACCATTTCAATTTCCCAATGTTCAGGTATCGGTGTCAGAGTTACCGCACCTTAGCGGTGTGAGCAGTACGGCACTCAGTTTCTAGGCGCCTTTACCGCAAGACACATATACTCGCTTTCAACAGAGTCAGTTAACTCTGCGGTTTCCTCGCTGTTCTCAAGTTTAGTCCGTATGTTGACCTGGGGAATTTATAACAAACTAAAGTCTTACGACCAAACTGCAATTATTTTGTCTACAATAGTTTCACCAGATACTCCAGACAGAGGATGTTCCACGGATCAGTCATGCGGGACCGCGTGACTAGCCACACTACAGACATATATCATTTTCACCCAATTCAAATCTCTCTCAGCAGTAGTGTTGTACCTCTCAAATTCCGAACGCACCGGAGTGAGGCGAGTGATGTGATCTATCAGTAACCTCACATGTTCGTCCACTTCAGGTTGACAGTGATATAGAAATCATTCATGTCGTCAGCACACGCCAACACTCAGAAACATAGTTACAGTACATCAAGTAATATCAAGTTACTCCGCAACTGTCATCGTTTTAAGAACATTTTGAACTTTAGTGCAAAATGGTAAGGTCGAAAATTGGCTAAATAGATTTGGCAAATCATGATGTCGTGATGAGCTACCGTCTATAGACGTGACAAAAGAAATTATTTTTCAACGCACCACTTCACT